TAAGTTTTTGCCATCACTCTTGGCCGGCAGCGTTGACTGATGGCTCCAAGGGCCGGCAAAGACTGCATCGTCCGTCTGCTCGACAAAAAGGAGCGCACTCGTCTCGGTAGCAAGAGCGGCGCTAGTGAGGTGAAGCAGCACAAATGGTTTGCAAAGACCAACTGGGGTCTCCTCCGCAACACACGACCGCCAATCACTCCGACTCTGGCCAATGGGCAGGACGCGGTCAATTTCCGGCACATGAAAGAGTCACACTCTCTGCAGCTGGATGGAGAACACATAGAAGAGGGTGCCGACTTGTTTGGCGGGTTTTCAAGTGTTACGTTGCATTACGATGGGGATTAGAGAGCTTTCTAATACTTTTTTATCTGCTGGTCTCGGCCTGTCTTTGGTTTGTCCGACATCAGAACCAGCTCAGTTTCTTCTCGAACCGATCTGATGATCTCAGATCCCGTTTCGTAGTCCTCGGCGTACCACGGTCACTCGTGTCACAGCCGGTGACAACGAAGACCCATAAACGCACCGACTTGTATCTCATCCCATTCCTCTGCTTGTCCCCTATGGCTGACCTCTATCCGCCCTCGTATCCATCCCGCTCCTTCCACCGCCAGGATTCCTACTCCTATCCCCACCATGACAATGGCAGCGCAGAAGACCTCCGCGACCAGTCTCCCCCGAGTCCCTCCAAGCAGTCCGAGTCGCCTCAGCAAACTCCGGCGCAGCAAAAATCGGAAGCAAAGCCACAGGCAACATTCCTGACAAAACTATACGCGTCCGTATACCCCATTTCGTCTGCACCTTCTCCCGCGACTTAGGTCGCGTTCTACTTAGGCTTCTCGAGCGGCCAGAGAACCACCACATGATTCGATGGGATCCGCAAGGCGAGCATATCGTCGTCGAACGCCCTGAGCAGCTTGCATTGCACGTTCTCCCAAGTATCTATCGCCAGTCCCGCTTCGCCAGCTTCTCTCGGCAACTAAATGTACGTTGTCGTGCTTCGAAGTATGAAATGTTCTGTTAATAATCTCCTGAACTTATAGATCTATGGCTTCATGCGAAAAGTGAATCTGCGCAATGTCGATCCTGCAATAGACGACCCGGACGCCAGTACCTGGTGTTCGTCTTCTTTTTTTCTGCACCACAACGTTCTTCAGCTGACTTGCGCCGATAGCACATCCAACTCTCAATCGGCATTCTCCCCCCGAAGTCGTGGCCAATTTCAAGCGCCGCGTGCCCCCGCGCCTCCCAAAACCTAGAAAGCGCGACACTCAGGAATCATCACCCCAAATTCCCCCTCCTCGTTCTGCCATTGGCATGGGCCCGGTGCCCTTGACGGTCCCATCCTCTGTCGGCCCCTCTGCGCACAAGTCAGGCCACATCGGCAGGGCCCGTGGATTCTCTGCGCCGGGCTCATTCCCTCCTATCATTCAAAATTCCTCTGGCTGGAACGGCAGCTATACGCGTGCTGCTCTGCCGCCATTGACGGTTCCATCCGATCCTCCTCATATCCCCAATGGACCTGGGATGTACAGTCACCACCATTCGCCGCACCCTCTGCATCCGCTGACCCCCGGAGACGAGTCCCCGACGTCACCTGCGTTCAATTCATACTCAGGATCTTCGCACTACCCTTATCCGACGGAGCAAGGCCATTGGTCGTCGCAAAGCAGTTCTGGGTACACCAGTCACAATGGCAGTTTGTCGGCTCTTCTGAACCCAAGCAACGGCGGTTACCAACGCCCAACTCCGACCATCAATACTTCGTATCCAGCCCCGTTCTCCAATATGCCCATGGAGCACAGCTCATCGTCCATGTCTCCCGACAGTCGGCCAACGACAGGGTACTCGATGTCGTCAGTTTCGTCACTCCCGTACGCAGATGACTATTCTCGGCCGAGTTCGAGCCACCATCGGCCGATTTCGCCACCAAGACCACACTCGTCCAAATCGTATTCTTCAGGGAATGGGCTGGGCATCGTGAGACGGCCGCGACGTCACAGCCAAGCCATGAGCCCGTACCCAAGCCCATACGAGCCATCTGAGCACCAGCGGCCATCGACTTCTCCGCAACCGATGGATGACGGGCACAGCGCTGTGCCGAGGGTGCGCAGCATGATCCAGCTGCCATCGGTGGATCCTTACAGCTTCACTCCGAGTCAGGCTGAGTTTGCGTACAACCCGGTGGAAAGCAATGATTCGATCGGGGACAGCTGGAGCGCGAGAAGCGGGCGGCCGTCGACCGCGGCGTCGTCGATATCTGCGGCGTCGCACACGTCGTCCTCGCAGGCCAACACGCCCCCTGTGCAGGAGGGATTCCACGGGGAAACGGACATCAATAGATGTGAGTAATCTCGTTTTTTGCATGGTTCGATGGCGATCCGCGTCGAGTTTTGTTCGCGTTTATTCACAAACGTCGCGTGCTGCAGTATCGTTGGACCATCCCCCACACGCGGTTTACTGATTTGCTCTTCCGCGTCGGCAGTCTCGCCCGACTTTGGATATGTTGCCATGAACGAACATCCCGGATTGCCGCAACAACACTTTGCCAAGTCGCCGGCCGTCGTTTAGATTGGAGATGGAGGCGGACGTTTTTCCCTTTCTTGCTGCATCCACACACTCCCTTTTTGCTGTGATGAACCGTGTACGATCACCCTGTCTTGGAACTCCCTGCTGCTGCTGTGTGGACTGACATACCATCTTGCTCTGTGTATTTGGATATACCACCACTATCATTTGTGCTTTACATGTATCTCTCTGCAATCGATCTCCCCAGATACCATCCGCCTCCTCCGGCCCGGTCCGGCAGTAAACGGGAAAAGGAAATTTCCCTATCCAACGACGGTGTGGAACGTTTGATGCTGGATTGATGGCGATCGAGGCAGTGGCACGCGTGGCCTGTCCAGGCGATTGACATGTCCCGATCTCCTTCCTCGTGGGTTTAGTATCGTTAAAAAGAATAGCCTTTGCACTCGAGACTTTTCCAATAGACACAGTACATAACTAAACGAATGTGGTAGATAAGATACGCAAGTAATACAACCGAATCGAGAATCGTCCGTGGTGAGTAAAACGTAAATGCTGACAGCCGCAGACTATCGCTGCAGCTCCACCATCGGCCGGGCTCCTCCAGCTTCCAGGTCAGCCGCGTCCCCGTCAGCATTGGCAAGGAACCCTTCCCGCTCTTCCGCATTGCCCGTCTCGCGTTCGCTGCCGATCTCATCGTCAACGGCTCGTCGGGCAACGATGGACAGATAGACCAGGATGGCAATGCAGAGCACCACACCAGCGATGGTCCATGCGCTTGCGACCGTGCCCTCCGTCTCACCACTCTGCCCGCTCGACGTGTGGTAGTCTTTGAAGGACCTGATCGACGCACCAAGACTGGTGTGCACGATCAGCTTGAACAGAGACGCAGCGGTGCACAGCGTATATGTTCGGAACGTGAGACTGGGAGCTGCAGCAAGCAGGCAGTTCATCACATTGTACGGATAGGGGGCCAAACGGACGAGGAACAGGAGCTTGGGTCGTTTCTCAACGGCACGCACAACCTGCTTGATGGTTGGGCAGGAATCGAGCCAACGAGATATCGGGCCCCGGAGAAGCGTGCGTGATAAGAGGAAGACGACGATAGCACCTGCAAGAGCGGCTAGGTAGGACAGGATTGCACCCGCCCATGCACCGAACGTGTACCCGGCCAAAACGATGAGTGTGGAGTAGAGAGGGAGAGGAGCTGCTGCGGATGTTAGCCGATATCACCGATCCGGGGCAGTGGGGCTACGCACGGAACGTCGTGATAAAGATGAGGAGAAATAGGAGGGTATATCCGAAGGATACATCCGCACGCAACCAGACTGCAAGGTCGTCTAGGACTAGTAGGCTCTGGTAAGCTGCAGGTACGAATGCGATGCTTGTCACTTACACGTAAATAGTTGCGCCTTATAGAACGCAATGGCAACGACAAATATTAAGCTGGTCAGTGCGTACATTAGCACTGGCAGCCAGGGCTTTGCGCGCTCGGGGATCCATGCCCTCCGAGCGGAGCAACGATCGCGCTCAGGGGTGCTGACTGCGGTGCGGGAGGATGAGTTATGCGTCTAGGTGACGGTGAAGGGGACCGGGATCTAGAGGTGAACCTGGACGACGAAGAGGGATAGCGGTCGTCGAGACGGATTTCTAGTGTCGAGTCGTCTTTCTCATTCATGTCGCGTTGCGGCGCATAACGAAAGGGTGATTGAGGTTGGCGGTGTGGTGTTGACTTTGTCGATGTTGAAGATACGGGAGACTGTGTAGACAGCAGCCCAGGCCGCTGGTGGTCCATGCCACGAATATTCAACGAAAGTGGAGGTGGGGGGAAGCAAGGTACACGCTGTGACGGGGCATCAAAATTTAGAACCTGACGCGGGGCGGAAGTTGCCGCCCGCCAACGTTCGTCAGGACTCAATTGGGCTCATCTTGCACCGCTAGTCACAGTGAACAGACCGATGTGGAAGTTCCTCAGGCAAGTATGATCCGTTTGCTTCACGAGTATCCTGCTCCCTGTATCCTGCTGGAAGCTGAGCCGTCGCACAGCCATACCATGAGAGCACCATCTCGTCGCAGGTTCGCGTCAATGCGCCCCCCTCCGCCCCCGCGATCGCAGCATACACCAATGGGCGACTGGTACTCGAATGTTATGCCCGCCATGCTGCCTATATCCCTGCTTGCCGCCGCGGTCTACACGGCAAGTGCTTTGCCGATCTCGAGCAGGGTCGGGACTGAACGCGCTCAGGCTCTGCGCATGACTCAACTGACTATATCCCACGAAAAGATTATGGAAACCCAAGCAGCGAGGCTCGCGGAGCTTGAAGCAGAACTTGACGCGCTCCAGCAAGCCCGGCAGGCACAGACCAAGGCGCGATAGCTCACCGACCGACCCAAGCCGCTCAAAGGACTGGACTTCCATTCGCCAAACTAAAGCTAAACTAAAATGCGTCTAGTAATATCCAGCAGGGTAGATAACTCAGAACTGGGCGTGAGCAGGCCAGCCAATTACACATCGTCGCTCGGCTCGTCAGTGCGACAACCTTAATACGAGTCGGTGGACAGCTCCGCGGCAAGCCCGAGCACCGGTCGGGGAGTAGAATGAACACCAAATAGCCTAAGTAATCTACGGGTAAACGAACCAGGAGTTAGAATCGAATGCGGACAGTCAATGGAACAGTAGCAATAAGGTTAGGCTGCAAGAGTCGTTGCGGCTTTCAAAAGCGTTCGCTGGTGGCGATCGTACAGTTTCCAGGCACTGGCAAGCATGATTAAGGTCGCGGAAAGTCCGAAAGAAGGCGCACAAAAGCTTGACTGACCTCAACATGCCTGATGTCAGGCCAGCACAAGTCTTCACAGTGTCCCGCCACCGTTGAAGTCTAAAGACATCGTAGGCTATGTCAAACAGAGTGTTAATGTCGGGTCTCTCCACTGACAAGAGAAAGAAGCGACGCACAAACGAATATCAGATCCATGAGCAACTTTGTCCGTGTGATCTGGAGCCAGAAATCTTGTTTTTGTAATCGCGCCATTTCCTTCTCGTCCTGTTTGGCAGTCGCCGAGGACAGCGGCTTTGATTTACCCGGATTTGCCATAGATTCTGCGTACAGGCGCGAATGCACTGTGTGCCAGTTGTCACACTTAGCACGATTCGGGATGTCGTGTCAAGCTCACCTTCATGCTGCAGGCCTCCGATCATCTGGCGTTCGACACCATTCTCCACGAGACCAACCAGGGTGGCAAGCAGCCAGCACCAGTCAGAGAATCGAGCCGCTCTTTCCCCCGTTTCCTTCGACAGAAGCCCTAGAAGCGAGAATGTGTACACATCATCAGAAGATGAGTGCACCAGATCAAGTAACACAGGCGGCGGCGCATGCATCAGCGTATGCAAGAATGGCGTCGGCGCCTTTGGTTTGGAGGCACCACCCATAGACATAGACTCCGTCCGTCGCGCCAGAATGGCGGTTAACGGCGCGAGCCAGTTGAATAGCAGCAGGCATTTTCTGATTGGGCCATTCAGATAGCAGGCACACGTGCAGCATGCATGCCTCATACCTTGTCCGTGAGAGCCCATCCACCGTGGAGGATAGCCTGCTCCTCAGCTCCTGTTCCCATGCTGGTGGCTTCGAGCGGTGCAACAGTTGAGTAGAGGCGACAGAGTTATGGAACAGCAAGTACAACTTCAAGCCATATTGTATCAATTTCTGGTTGTGCGCCCAATTAGACTTGAGAGCACCAGAGCAACACCTGATACGCACAAAGGCCTTGTCCCTCCCGTTGCTGGTCAAGAACATCTCGCGCCAGACTTCTTCATTTGAGACGCGCGTTTGTGCAAGTTTCAAGCGCGCAGAGTCCTCCTCCAAGTCCTCCTCTTCGTCCACCTCAGCAATAGTATTCGACTCCTCCTTCGCAGAACTGCCTTCATAGCCGGAGAAACCATTTCCATGTGATTGTGGGTGCGCAGAAGATAGAGAGGTGCGGGGTGTGCGCGGCGGATGCAACGAGAGCGGATTCATCTGGAACGCAGAAGAGGATGCCTGGGACTCGAAGGGCATGTAGAAAGAGCCGGAGGCGTCTTCTCCCGGGAAGGACATATGCGACATAACGGTATGAATCCAAGTTGACCCAGCGCTCGACTCGTAAACAGTGCAAACACCGGCTAGTCAAGTTTATGACCCGATTGGGATGGAAATCAAAGTTGAACATCAACCACAGTACCACTTGGAGTCTGAGGTCGATATATACCGCTGCTATCCATCGGCGACTGGGTAGGAAACGCACTGAACGTTACTGAAACTGCGATGGCTGGCCTCTCGTCACCTTCGTTCCGCACCCCTCCCCGCTCTGACCCCGCCTCGCCGTCGCCGCTGTACCGCTCCTCACTTCCTCCGCCGCGTCCGCCGACTTTTGACGCTGATCTGCTGAAGAACTACACGAAGGCGCTGCTGCCTGCAACCCTCCAATCTGTCGGCTCATGGGATCCGAAGGACAAGGATCGCGTCAAGGGGTGGACAAAAGAGATTGGTGACCGCGTCAAGACGAGGATGCTGGAGATTCAACCCAGTGGATTGTGAGTGCATGGCGACTACTTCAGGAATGGGGGCGCTAACTGCGCCGCTGAAGTAAATACATTGTGCTGACGCAAATCAACGAGAATTTAGGGCAAGGCGGCCGGCGAGTGGTGTTGGCTCACTGGACCTGGAATGACCTAATATGTACTGTAGGGCTGATATGGCGTGTCATTGGGAAGAAGCCGACGTGGTCATTCAAGAGATGTTCGCTAATGTGTGTGCGGACTTGGGCTCGTTCATTCTCTGCTCGTGAATTGACTTGGACCTTCTATCAGGACGCCCTGATTTGTATCTGTATCGCTTTTGCCATCCGCATCTCATGAGTCACGGTCGACGTTCCCCCGCTCCTGTATCGATATCATCACGACTACTACTACTAGCATACCTCGTCATCTGCCACCGGAGATAGGATACCCAGGACGAAGGATGTAATCACGCATGAATAAGTAAAACCCACCGCTTCATTTCCGCCACTGAACAGAACATCGTGCAGAACATATCAGAACCAGATATTCTTGTTCTCGATCGAATTCTGACAGCGGAGTGATATGATGCCTGTTGCTGTTGCTTTTCTTGGTGTGCTCTGGTCGTGCTCTCTCTTTGTTCAACCTGGCGGCACGTTCATCATTGGTCTGATATGATTCCTGCGGCTCCAGTAAATGACCTCGGTCCTTGAATTCCCAATTGGGCCCATGCCGTACCAGGGTCAGTGCCGGATGAGCCAACGCGTGCCGGTATTGGCTGCACGTCATGCGGCAGTCCAGGCAAGGATTTTCTGGAAAACGGCTGGGAGTATTGTCATCAGGGATGCCGTTGAACAGTGAGATTTGGGGTGCTCATGCGCGCCGATGCGACCATGTGCGTTTCTGGGATTTGCTCGTCCGCGCGACCGGCAGCTCTCGATCTCTGATTCTGTCAGCGGAACTCGCATCGAGTCTGGAGACATTCACACTCTCGAGGCGCTCATGCCGCGGTCTGGGAGAAGGCTCATCGCCACCCACTGCTTCCCTTGCTTCGGGCTTCTTCCATTCTGCCATGATGCACGGTTATTTGCTTCGATTCTGTTGCCAACGGACGGGCGGCCTGTAATGTTCGTCGAGCGAGTCGAGCAGGCATGGCTTGAGTGCTGCATGCACAGGAGATCTGGGATGCCACAGGGAACTGCGGTCCATCAGACTCTCCGCATGCGACATGCCATCACTGTCAACGATCTCCCCCAAGTGAGCGGGCCGTCGAGACGGACTCGACTCGACGACGCATCTGGTTTCTGACAGCACGATCCTCGTGTCGCGCGGCAGGTCTTCGGCGATTACAGCTGGCAAGTAAATTTGGAGGGAGGGCATCTCCGAGCTCCGAGGATCCTGCCCAATTTCTACGCGAGCATTCACACGGATAAGACACGCCAAATGTGCTAGCGGGTGCTGTGCTCTTACAGCCGCACTCCCGTCGGAACGTGCTTGCCAACCAGCGCCAAAGAGCGTCAAATATCCATCGACATCCCGTCCCGGATCCAAGGCGGACCAGGAGCTTTGGCGCGCAGAATGCCCACCATATTACTGGCTCCTGGCAAATCCGTTTTCGCATGCTAAATCTGAGCTGAATTGTGGAGGAGATTGCGATTCTTCGCCGCAGGCCTGTATAGCACTTGCCCAAAAAGCCTCCGCGGGAAACAGGTCGTAAATCGCTCCATGCGACGTCGAGGCTTGTGCTCTCACATCAACCGTCTGACTCTAAATCTGATGGAATATCACCACCTGAAAACGCCCGGAAAGGAAATCGAACTGGTTTGAATAGGGCAAATCACGTGTTGCTCGCCGATTCCGCCTGTCTTGGGTCTCGGAGACATCGGTTATTTCCATGCTCGCTTGGGAACACACTCGACTAAAGACTTGTCATCTCGTCTTCTTTCGGTACGTCAACATCCGCCACGATTGTTCAGTAACACCCATCATGATAGTCCTCCTGATCTGCACTTCCAGGCCTCTGCACTTTGCCATTCGCCTGCTTATGTAATTATGCCGTATCCGCTCGCACACTGGGCAGAAATCGTTGGCACCGTCGTCTCGAATACAAATCAGATAAATATACAACACAGAGAGCAACGAATCGTCCATCTCATCGCAGGCTGAGCAGGTCGTTACACAATCTTCATTGGGCTGCCTGGAGGGAGCTCGGCGTCGTTGCCAGAAATATGCAATGCCTCGAAGCCCATCGCATTCCCGGCCAGTGGGCTCCGATGCCCGACACCAGCACCCCCAGCGCCCTTCTGCTGCCGATGCCGTCGGCCAAGCAATGTCGCAGCATCCATGTCGAGCTCGAACGTCTTGGCACCGGACGAGCGCCCAGATTGCGTGTTACGACCGCGATCGCGGGGGCCAGCACGACCTGCCGCGCTCGGCGCCTTGGCCGGGACAGGTTCCTCCTCCTCATCTTCATCATCTTCATTCAGGCCATGAAGGAAGCCTCGAACGCCCGCACCGCCTCGCCCCTTGTACTTGCGTCGGCGGGCACCCTCTTCCTCCATTCGATGCACTGCGTACGTCACGTCGAACGCTTCTTTGAGAACCGCAATTCCAGGGCTTCGGCCTTCGGCCCGACCACCGCGAGCGGCTGACAACAGCGGAGAATCCATTGTCTGCTGGCCATACACATAAGGAGTAGCCGGCGGCGGTGGCGCCGGTGCTGCGTTGCACCAAGGATGCGCGAGGAATTCATCGATCGTATATCGTTGAGCAGGATCAACACAGAGAAGGTGCTGAATCAGATCTTTGGCTGGAGACGGTTGGTCAACCCAGGAAGCGTCTCAACTGTGAGCGCACACACCTGATGCGCTGATGTCATCCCACCAGGGACTCAGGAAGGTGTAGTATCCCTTCGCGACCTTCTCCGTAAGAACATTGATGCTCTCATCGTAGAACGGTGGGAATCCGCAAAGAAGGGTGTACAACACACACCCGAGAGCCCACATGTCCACACTCTTGCTGTAGCGCTCGTCCTTCACGATCTCGGGCGCGGTGTACCCCACAGTACCACATGGAGTCATCGTTTCTTCGTTCCAAACGACCTTGCTCAAGCCAAAGTCGGCGATCTTCACACGGCCGATTCCACCACCTCCAACTCCAGGAATAAATTCGCCCTCGTCTTCTTTTTCCTCATCATAAGGTCGATGTATCGGTGTCTTCGAGGGTATGATCGGGATTCGCTGGAAGAGCAGGTTCTCGGGTTTGATATCCCGATGAACGACACCTCGCTCCTCGTGCAGGTACCGAATGCCGCGAGCGACCTGGAGAATAACGTGCCTCGACAGATTCTCGCTGAAATATGTGAGTTTGACGATCTGGTGGAACAGCTCTCCGCCCTCCATTACTGATCATGTACATCAGTATCATTGTTCCCAATGTCAGATGGACTCACATTCGAGGACGAGGAAATAGTGCTCATCAGATTCAGAAAAGGATATAAGCTTCACGACGGAGGGATGGTTGGTGCCCCTCATTATTTGGACTTCTGAGGCAGAGTGAGATTACTGATAGAGTCGAAGGCCGAGTCGCTCACCTTTGAGTATATTGGCGCGCTGGATGGAAATGCATCAGTCTCTGCAAGGTTGAGGATGTTCGAATGAAAAAGAAAGCACCTCTGTAACGCGCGGCTTCTTTTTGAATTTGGGATTCAGGTGCTTATCCCCATCCTAGCCGCGCGCACGAGTTAGATTAGATGGAAATGGAAGGGTAGATAGACACAAAATATGACTAACCTGTGACGCGTTGAGCTCGAATTTACGAACGACCTTGACTGTGAACAGTAAGCGCGACGTTGGCCGGCATGACTCGGTGAGACTTACCGGCGACTTTCTTGTTCGTTGTCAGATCTATGGCGTGGTATACATTGGAGAACGCTCCACTGTGACGATTGAGCGCTAGGCTCGCGCTGAAGCGAGGAACAACGTACTCTCCCATCTTTTCAACAATCTGGAAATTCTCGAGACCTTTGTAGGAGGGCATCTGCTCCTTGAGCTCACGCTCTTGCTTCACAATCTGTTCTGCAGCTTCGCGAGACATGGCATCATCGGCAGGTGGGGTGTCAGCTTGAGGAGGGGCGGGTTGTTGCTCTCGTTGAACGTGGTTGTGGTTTTTGCCGTGTCTTAATAGATCTGCGAACGATAAGCGCGAGTTGAAAAGGGAAGAGATGGGGTTTACTCTTGAAAGTCTCTACCACTCCTCCGGCTGATGAGGGCATACTAAGTACTGTGATGGATGAGGGGAAAGGGAGGTGGAGAGAACGCCAACTTAAGCGGACCTTCGCTGTGATGTCATTACACCGCTATGACACATGAGGGGTAGGTCATTGATGGCTTCATGTGTAATAATTAGCGATCCAAATGAGCTCCTCAGAGTCCTGGAGAGTTCAGACATTCAATCACTCTAGCAAACTTTCAAGCGCTCAATAATACAAATTTTAAGTATTCAAGATGACCGGAATTTGAGCAAACAGCATTTTTCAAGAGCCTGATCTCATTCAGTTTCTCAGCTTCGTCGTGGGTCCAATGCAAGATCAGCCAAGCTTAGGCAAACAAATCAATTCCCTCAGTCACGACTTCTAGCAACATGAGTGGGCTAGCGGACGAGCTCTTGGCCGACCTGGATGGACTGTCAGACGACGGCGGCGAGTATCAAGAAGCTAATGAGCCGGAAATTGGCGAAGGCTC